CTTACTAATATTGTTAATAATAGTGATAGCTGTCTTAGTTTTGTTTTTGAAGAGTCGGGGGACTTGGGGGCAAGCAATACACAGACTGTAGAGTTAAATTACGATTCCATATCAAATGTGTTAGAAAATCATAATCAGAATTCACTTGCAGATAATTTAAAATGTTGGGCTCTTACACACAATGTAAACCATAAACAACTAGTTGCACCACTGAATAAAACGCTCCTACTTCTAAGTTTCTGCCACTTTGCATAAACCATATTATGAGCATATCATCTCATCATATTAGAAAATAAGGCAAAACACAAAAAGGATAACCCAAAAAACTTTATATTATTTTATAGATGCAGTGAAAGTACATTTTCCAGACGCAACTGATCTGGACATTACGCGATGTATTGGTATTTCACTAGCGACAGCCGGAGACCGGGATGGGGGAAGAATATTTAGAGGTTTGTGTCCTTATAAATTTAATTTTATGTGTTAACTGAAGTATTTTTTAGCTAAAAATAATACCAGCCATGAAGATAATATGTAGGCTTATTTTATTACTTAGTTAATATTTTTGTAAGATAAATTGTTTTCTTCAATACATTAAAGTTTCCATACACACATGGGTATTTTGTTTTATGTTTTCCCTAAATTTGAAATAAAATTAAGGACAAAAACTAGTGGTATTATGATTACCAATGTTGGCGTATATTACATTTTTAATGGGGGCAATATTTTAGTAACTTGTTGGACCAATATTTAAAAACAATGTTGGGCCAATATATCAAAAAGTGACGAATTATTATTGGCCCGATATTAAAAACTAGCTTGGCCCAATATATATTCTACATTGGATCAATCTTGGAACAATATTGTTGTGCTACTTGGGAAAAGTTTTTAATTATGCCAATAAATAATAATATGGAATATTAAATTGTAATAAAAAATAATTAGGCAACTAGGTCAACACAAAATCAAGGCCCGCTTCGATACAAAGATAAAAAATCTAATATTTCTCTCATTCTTAGAAATAAATACACATAACTTTATATCGTTGGAAAGGGTTAAACGCCAGCATTTTTTTAAAGTTCATAGCCAACTATGATTTCCATTTAAAAAATTATATTTTTTATTATTTCTGACAAAAAGAGCATATATAAAAAAAACTGACTACGCCACTGGATTGTGCTTAAAAAAGTGCCTTGAGAACGTTTTTACAAAATTTTATTATTCCGCGAAATACAAAAGTTCCAAATGGCAATTTTCCAAATGGTAAAGAATTCAAAAAGACCCCGTATCTCAGTTGGCAATGAAAATATCAACAGGCGGTTTACGCCATTAAACGTGTCTCGTTTTGCTCTATCTAGTCAGGAAATAGGTTTTCTCTGTTAAAACAGACCAATTTTGACCACCCTGTACATCAACAAAATTTTTATTTATTTATTTATTTTTATTTATTTTATTTACATTGATACATTTATGTTCAATTTTACTTAACAATAATCTTAACCTGTTACAATAAATTCAACAAATTTCTAAATACACCTAGGTGCAAAAAGCACCTGTAGTGTATAATAATATATGTGTAAATAAATTAATCTAAAATAACAATATATTATAATAATCTGATGTTCATGAATAATGATAATTCACTTCTTTAACAGCGCTTAAGGGGCATAAAGGGCTATTATTACTTATTACCGCTTTCCCGTTCAAAAAAAACGGGAAATAATCATATATTATATCTCGAGACCTATAAATTTAATCGATTAAACTATTCAAATATATTTTGCGCGTTATTTTGCTTTGAAAATAGTTGAATGCCTAATAATTTAATAAAAACCGGAGACCGCGAAGAGGGTCGAGGTTTTTTATTCTAAAATTATTGTGCATGAAACTGTTTTCTAAAAAGCAAAATCATGCAAAAAATTATTTGGGTAGTTTAATCAATTAAATTTATAGGTTGAGTGATATACCGCTAGATTATTTCCTGAATGACTTAGAATGAAGCAAATGACTTAGGATGAAGCAAATAACTAAGAATTTTATTAACTATAAAATTTAACAAATTAAAAAAAAAATATTACTAAACCTTGAATTCATTTTCACTACAGAGGTAAATAAAATTTAAAGACGTTTCAAAATGACCTCTCTTAAGTAATGTTTGTGCTTCTGCTACTGCTACCTTGGTTACCCATCCCAACAATGCATCGATTTTCGATGATATGTTTCGCATGCACAAAACATCCCCCTTTAGAACTTTTTCTTTAATGGCCATAAGCGGGAGTAAAAGTCCAACCGCCCGAACAAACGCTAGAGGCGCCACCGGTCATCAAATGGTGTAAAAAAATTTTTATTTAAAAAACTTTTTTAATTTTTATTTTAATTCAATATTCATTGTTTTCAAACTATATTATTAGACTCTGTTGTATTTTGTGAATGTATAAATGTTTTCTTAGTATAAAGTTGCATTATATTAATTTAAATTATATTTACAAATTTAAAATTTAAATATTATGACATATATGTCAGTTGCCGTCTAAAATATCATCTTAATAACAAAAAGTTTGTTAATGACAGAATGTCAGAAATAGTTAAAATCATGTATACAAATCGTGCACAACACAACACACTGACAACACATTAGGCGCGTTCAGGGACGGTCAGCGGCTGAGTGGCTGAGTAAGCGGTTTCCCTAAACGGTCTCTTTTTGCACGCAAAAACAGTCAGCCGCTGAGCAAAATACTCAGCGGTCGGTCAGCCGCTGTGTTCCCTGAACGCGCACATTGTCTTAGGTGCCTTTATTAAAGAAACGGCTGTGTTATTTTATGTACTAATCTAAAAGTTAATAAAGTTTATTATTTATTATTATTATTATGTTAAAATATTAAAATTTACAAGTTATAATTAGATATTTTATATTATTTCAAAAACAAAAACATAATGGTACAGCGTTATGTTGATATGCAGGTCCAAAACAAAAAGTGCCGTTATATCTTTCAGTTTTCGTTGTCAGCCGCGGATGTTTCAGTGATTTTAGTGTTGTCGGATATTTTTATTTGTGAAATAGAAATAATTGCGTTTGGATTGCAAAACGAAAAGTGGAAGTTTTATTGCAATGTAAGTAAGCGTTTGTCCATTTTATATTTTACTTTTTTCATACCTACGACAAATATACATAGGTATATTGAAATTTTATAATTCGTTTTATTTAAAAAATGTTACAAAACAATACACTTATCTAAACAAAATTTATTCGTAAAATTAGATTAGCCGATTGGTCCATTTCACGATGAGGGAAATAATCATATATTATATCACGGGGGAGACCTATAAATTTAATCGATTAAACTATTCAAATATATTTTGCGCGTGATTTTGCTTGGAAAATAGTTGAATGCACAATAATTTAATAAAAACCCGAGACCACGAAGAGGGTCGAGGGTTTTTATTCTAAAATTATTGTGCATGAGACTATTTTCTAAAAAGCAAAATCATGCAAAAAATTATTTGGCAGTATTTTTTAATTTTATTCGATAGAAAATGACATTCTGAATAGAATGACATATCATATGTCAACTTTTGACATTCTCGCTTAATAAAAAATTATTTTTTTTTAAATTCAATCTAGAGTGCCATGTGTATGTTAAAAACACTAATTCTTCATCAAGGAGCCTTGGAAAAATAGATTTGATCGTCTAATGTTTTTAGCGTCTTGTCCTGGTCAGTTAGACAATGCTCAAATCGTATTTTTAATCGTATTTCAATTTTTTCAAATAGAACGAGGGTGGCTCATTAGCATATTTGGAAAAAGCATTTTTTACGAATAATTTGATACCACGCTCTTGGTATTTCAAGTCAAATTTTCGTTACGAACCGCAAGTTATAATTATTTCAAATAAACCATATGCGAAAATGTCAAAAGTTGAAGATGTGATATGTCATTATATTCAGAGTGACATTTTCTATCGAATAAAGTAAAAAAATACCGGGGGTGCCATTTAAAAATCAAAAGTTGTAGTCATTTCCGGTGAAACCGGAAGTGACCGAAAACAATTGAATACGTCAATCAATCCTAATTTACGTCATATACTAACATACCAAATCTCGTTTTTTAACTAAAATAATAAAAAATTTAGGGGGGTGGGCCACTTTTGAGACGCACCCGGTATATTTATTTTATAAAAGAGGTTCTAAAAAAGAACAATGTTCGACTGCAAAGTCTGCTAATAGAAATTTTTAAGCTTAAAGTATCACAACACAATTTATTTAAACCAAAAACTTGTAATAGAAAACTACAGTGACAAAACGTAAGTACATACAGTGTCAGAAAATAAATAAATGAATATGAACCTTCCACAATTAATTACCTTAGAAACTTTGATGACGGTGAGGGAGTCACTCTTGACATTTAAGAATAAGTTTGATTAGCGATAATTCATAAACGTTTTATTTTAGTTTTGTTACATTAAGATGCAAATAAAATAAGATAATATAAAATCGATGAATTGAAGTTTTCTAACGTTTTGTCGACTGGAAAGTCAGTTACCCGTAGCATGTAAACATTTAACTTTTAATGCATAGATATTAACTATTTATTTTATGCAATTTAATGCATAAATAATTTCTAAATTTTAATTTTTTTCTTTCGATTTAAGCTTAAAGCTACCTAAAATTCAAAATTTGAAGTTTGTGAAATTCATAAAAGTCCTTTAGAATTTTGATAATCGGTCAGTGAGTCGCTATCGAAATGAAAGAAATTTGACAAGCTATAATTCATAAACTATGAATCTGCCCTGAGCTATAGTCTGCCCTCTTGATTAGTAAAATTGAATATTATTATTCTTACTTTATCCACAAGAAATTTACAGGGGGATCAAAAGTATTATGAGTTGCTTTGAGGAGTATGGTACGGCTGTGCTTGAAACCAAACCAAACCAAACTGGACCCCGTTTATTTTCGATCATACGGTACTTTTATTGTATACCTACATACTCTACTATACTTACACATTAATGCAGACCCGTTGCACAAAATCAGAACCACTTTTAAAAGTTCGTTATAGACGGCATCGTTACAGAACTGCAGAAATTCCCCAAAAATATCAACAAGATTACTCTTTTGAGCTTTATTTTTCCGTACTTCAAGTTGCAAATACTGTCTTAAGTTGGGATTATCGACAGTCAGTAATTTATGTAATACATTTGTGATTTTAAACTGAAGGGGTTCATTATCTTCTGTCCATATCAGCAGATAACCTGCAAATATTTTTAAGATACTTAATAGATGCCTTTGTCAGTTAGCACACAATAAAAATTTAAGAAATAAAACATATCTTCTTGGAGAGACATTGTATTTAATTTGATTTTATAAGGCCGATATATTGAAAAAAGAAGCGTTGAGCTTTCGGGGATGTTGGGTGTGTCCTTCAACAACAATATGCGGATTCTCATCGCTCCAGTATCTGCAGTTCTACTTATTCACATTTCCGTTTAAAAAAATTAGCACTCCTCACTAAAACAAATATTTTTGGTGAATGAAGGTTCCCTTCGAATTTCCTCCGTCATTAGTTCACAGAACTGAATCCTTCTATCTGGATCGTCGTCGCCAAGTTCCTGCAGAATCTTCATTTTGTAGAGATGGAATTTGTGCATTTTAATACTCTTCTGACAGATGTTCGAGGTATACCTGTGGTTGATGCCAACTGGCGTGTTGATGCTTCTGGATTGACCGATACCTGACCAATAATTTCTATCTGCATTTCTTCATTCAGTACCCTGGGTCCTGTCCTTTTTTTATTTTTTACCGATTCAGTTTCTTGAAACTTTAGAATCAAATCTCTAACATAAACGTAACTTACGTTTTTGTCCGGATTTCTCTCATTGAAAGCACGGGCCGTTCTCAAATAGCACATACCTTCAGCACCATAAAGAAAAACTATTTGAATTCTTTCTTCCACAGAATAAACCATTTTTCTTTCAAATAAGGGAATCAAATAAAGATTTAAAATACCACCAAATTTCAAACGATTGAAAATCGATAGAAGACAGTGCAAAAACGCAAAGATATGCCATTTTAAGATTCCTGTTTGTTGAAAGTAAAAAAATAGATGATAAGGAAGAATTTGCGTTATCGCAAAATTAGGCTGAACGATTAGTAAAACATCTTTGTGTTGCCTTTTTTATTAACTACATTTTTTATTTTTAGCTTCAAAATGGCAATGGTTTCAAAGTGGCATTGATGAGATTAGAAGTGAGGGGGCGGCACCTACGGGTGGGTCGGGGTGGTTTGAAAAATATCTCATATGCCTCATTTAGCTGGGTACCAATTTGTAACTTATGCTGAAAAATTACTTTTTTCATTAATGTCCACCTAATTCTTCGTGTAAGGGGTAGTTTTTCAATTTCACCCTAAAAACTTTATGATCATCGTTTAGCATTTTTCATGGGCTTTCCAAAAAGGCTTCACAAGTGGGGTGTTGCCATTTAAGATTTTCAAGTGAATAGCCTAAGGGGTAGGTCGGGGTGGTTCAAAAAATACGTCATATATATATTCCCCCTCGATATTATAGAAACGGTATTTTTTATTTTTTTGATATCTTTTTTGGTTTAAAAATTATAGCCATTGTAAGTTTTCAGTGGCCGACCCTGTATAATAAACGCGTGTTCCCAAATATTAATTCTGTGGAATATATGTATATCAATATAACATAAAACGGGGGGGGATGGATGTAATTAACGAAATATCATCCTAATAACAGTTACTAAAATAACTGTCTAAGTTTTTTTTAAACGTCTAAGTTTAATTATTTCACTGAGATTTATGAAAAAAAAATATTTTGCCTCAGGTACAGATACCGCCACGTTTTAGAAATAGCTCAAAACAAAACAAAATTGAACGAGGCAACAAAAAACGCCAAAAGAAAATCCCCCCTCGCCCTCCTTACGAGTAGTTTTCAGGCTCTTTTAAGAATTGAAAGTAGGTCGAGGCCAACCGAAGTGGGTCAAGACAAATGGAAATAAATCGAAATGCATTCAAAGTTGGGCGGCGAAATGCTTACATTGCTGATTACAACCTTGACATGTTTCGAATTGTTCCTGGCATAGTGTGTAGGCTGTTTATAATAAGTTATAACTCATAACTCAAGAAAGGAGGACACACAATTGTCAGGTCGCGGTGATTAACCCCACCTCCCAAACATTCTACATCGACATCACTTGTATGTATTAGTAATCGTTAATCGTTATGAGGTAAAGATATAGTCTATCCTTTAGTCCATCAAACGAGAGGATACATGGCAGTGACATCTCTGTCATTTTTATTTCCAAGTAAATCGTCGTTCGCAGAAATATATTCTGTTGCTGGTTGCTGGTAATAGTCTAAGAGCTAGCAACATTTTCGAGAAAGTATTTTAAGAAAGCTGGCTCTTTAATATATATTTTGCTATGCCCTCTGGAACAGCGTGCGGGTGGTCTGACTGCCGATAGACGTTGCTTTCACTACTGCGTATTGAAAATAAATCGAACAAATCTCCATAGCGCGGTGCGAAAACGTTCCGGCTATAAAACGAGAAGTCTCGAGCACAATACCGGCTCGGGGTAAACCTTTTTTTTTATTTTCGTTTATATTCTAATAGTAGTATAACTCTAATGAACGTCTATCGGCAGCCAGAGATGCCCGCTGTTCCAGAGAGCATAGTAAAAGATATATAAAAAAGACAGCTTTCTTAAAATACTTGTTTTCCCACGTTAGTAGCTCTCGTACTATAATACTTTATAGATTTAAATTCAAAATTGACTGCTGTTTGAGTTTTGTAGAAATCTCATTGCATCTCTGAAGTGTCGCTAGCGTTAGAGACCTGGGCTTAAATTGTCTTCCTTGAGGTGGCGGCTAGCTGGTCACCACCAAATGTAAGAACCTTGCAGAATGACCAAGATGAAGGGCTTCTTGGTCTTATATTTGCTCATCACTATCGATAACGATGAAAAGAACCAAACCAAACCAAACCGACAATATGTATTGTTAGAAATAAACGGTGCGAGCCGCTGCCGGTCACGGAGGTATCAACTAATTTCAGGTGGATAAAAAGGTTGATTGTTGGAGATTCATTGTTGGTGAATTGGGCAGTCAAGAAGACAGAAGGCATTCTCCGTGCTCGGATGGACAAGCCGTTCGTTTAAGAAAATAGTGTTACAGTTTTGTGTGTTTCCGAATTTTGAATAAAATATTATGTATAAAATATCTCAGTTGTTATCATCAGAAGTGAGGTAGAGCCTAGTGCCATTTAAGTGGATTGTGTGACGTATATTCTGAGATTACAGTTGAGGGTTGGAACCTATGGTGTTACACAGCAAAATAAAAACACTAAATCACCACAATACACCAAAACACTTTTACTTTTACACTGGACGCGCGTTTCGCTAACCATGTTAGCATCATCAGCAGATGATTATAAACTAAAGTACAATCTACAAGTTGAGCGTGTATATACTCGCTCAGTTGGCACCGAGTGGGCGTGGCAAAATCTAGCCAACCGAGTCAGAGCCCACTGAGCGTAACAGTTAGATTTCCGCTAATAATTCTGATGCTTTCATATGCATCTAATTGCCTGTAATTTGAGACTTGTTTAATTAATTTTAAATTATTAAGATCTATACAGTGTTCTTTATCAACAATATGTTCTTTGAATTATGTTCTTTGAAATATGTTCATGAACAAAGAACTTGAAGGAATTGGACCGTTGACTCTGTTCATACTATCTTTACATTTATTAATTCTAATGCTTTCATATGCATCTAATTGCCTGTAATTTGAGACTTGTTTAATTAATTTTAAATTATTAAGATCTATACATTGTTCTTTATCAACAATATGTTCGGCAACGCAAGATTTATCCGGTCTACCATATCTTATCTGAGTTAAATGTTCTTTAAATTTAGTTAATATTGGTCTTCTAGTTTGCCCAACATATTTCTGATTACAATCTTTACAAGAAATTTCATAAATACCCGACCTTTCCAGTGGAGGTGTTTTATCTTTTGGATTACCTAATAATTGTTGTAATTTATTATTAGCACTATACACAAGTTTATAATTGACATTCTTAAAAATTCCTTTTAGACCACGGGATAACTCTCTATCAAACGGTATCGAAAAATATTTAGACGTATTTTTCTCCACTTGAAAAGTCGAATTTTCAGAAATCGTTAACCTATACCTACGTTTTCTAATTAATTTATCAACTAGTGAAGGAGAATATCCATTACACTCAGCTACATTCCTAATGCAATCTCTTTCTATTTCATATTTTTCGTTGGAAAGTAGGAAACTAATGCCCACTTGCACTGTTTGTATAAACTTTGTTTAAAGGCTAAACAGTGATTAATTATATAATATTTTATTATAGTTAATCACTGTTTAGTCTTTAAACAAAGTTTATACAAACGGTGCAAGTGGGCATAAGTAATCTATGAACTAAGAAATTTAAACTAGCCATTTTATGTTCAACCCTATGATGTGATTCATTAGAAATATATCTGCGTGTGGTCGTATTTTTTTATAGATATCAAATTCCAGGCAATTATTAGTATTTCTAATAACTAATACATCTAGAAATGGTAATCTGTCGTTGTTCTCAATTTCATGCGTAAATTTAAAGGAAAACGATTATTTAACTTAGAAATAAAATTATCTACGGTGTCTGAATGTGTGTCAAAAACAGCAAAAATATCATCCACATATCTAAACCATACTCTTGGAAAATACTCAAACTGATTCTTAGCCTCGACTTCAAACCTGCTCATGAATAAATTAGCCAAAAATGGAGACAATGGATTACCCATTGCTGTACCTTCCCGCTGTTAAGATATTGTTACGTTTTTCGTCGGTTCCGTGTGGATAGAAAGTCACAATTTATTTAAACACTATTTATTTAACACTAATTAACAAAAACAATAACGATAAAAGACTTATAGAACTATTTACAAACGATTTATAACTAAGAATTTATTTTGAATTTTAGCGCGTCAACTCAACTGGTATATTTATAACTGCCCCCTGTAGGCCACAGCCGCCGGCTTTTATACCGACAGGTAAAGAAGGTTTTCGAATGTTCTCGTATGTACTAGTCCATTCCAGTGGGACTCGATTTTTCTCGAACGAATGAATCATTACTGTGTCTATTCTTTAATGCGATGTTAAGGTCATCTGAGGCCGGGACATATAGTTAGGTTAGGTCGAGTCCACACGGGTCCGCAAC